TCTAAATATAAAAATGAAATGGGTGGAGTCTAAAAGTATATTTTTATTTAGAGACAATTTTTCTCTGATGTTAATCCTGACAGTCATTAGCTTTAAATTTAGAGCTCTATTCATTTCAAACGTTACGTTTTTTAAAAATTAAAAACAGAAACCATTTATGCGCTGTTTGTAGAAAGTAAGAATCAAAAAAATATAGACAGGATAGATAGATATAATAGTCTTGAGTAATAAGTTGTTTCTCTGAAAAAAAAAACAACTTCTTCATCGAATCAAACATATTTTGGCACAGTATTAAATTATATAGGGGGGAATACACAAAATAAAGGGGAGAAGCGCACCCGGCGATTATCCTTAAATTTCACCGACCATTATCATATAGATATAGAAAAGAAATTAACTAGATCGTTTTCGTAAAACTTTCGTCTGAATAACCGTTTTATACAAAAAAAAAAAACAATAACAAAAAAAAAACAACAAAAAACAGTTGATTAAACACTTCATTGATCACAGCTTAATATAAGATTACAATCCAACTAAAATAAGGACAAATCGATGATGAATGGTTTCCCAAAATGCACCTTGTTAATCCATGATAATTTGGTTTCCCAAATATTACGTACTTTTGTTTAGTAAATTCCGTGTTTCCTCAAACGACCTTTTATTGTATTAAAGGTAAGTAATAAGAATTTCAGTTTGAGTGATAATTCATTTATGTTTTGTTATTTTTATTTGTGTTTCTGTACACTTTACTTTATTTCTTAATCTAAATATAAAAATGAAATGGGTGGAGTCTAAAAGTATATTTTTATTTAGAGACAATTTTTCTCTGATGTTAATCCTGACAGTCATTAGCTTTAAATTTAGAGCTCTATTCATTACAAACAAATTTATCATTATTGTAATTCTTATGTTCAAAACACAGTTTAAAATGACGGCAATAAAAAGTGTATTGAACCGCATCAGTAGATGTATAAATACAGCTGCGTAGCAAGCGGGTTTTTTCTATCTTTTCTTTTACTCTTTTACCGTGATTTTTCTTTAAAAACGGTGGTTTGTTTCTGTCGTGTTCGTTTAATACTGAATATTCGTTCACATGCCAATGCCATATATTTCTTATTTCACACTAAAATACACACACAAAAAATATCCTTTTAATACTGTTTTTAGTACATTTACTAGAACGATTCATATTTGCTGTCAAAATTACTGATTATTTTCACTTGTAACATTGAATGTGTAAATATTGTTTAACAAATTGATTTTATACAATAGCCGAAGAAAATCAGCAACTATAAATTATTCTCGCTGTATTGTTACAATGCAAGTTATACTACCAAAATAGTTTTTTTTATTTTCAAATGATTCATGACAAATATTCTGAACTTTTTTCTTTTTAAAAATTATGATATTATTAAAACAATGTTAAAAAGCTAAAGAATTGTAGTATACTGTAGTATGATATGATATGGTATGATATGGTATAATCTAATTAGTGACAGAACACTTTCAAAAAGTTATCATAATTACATTGGATTTCCTTTATGTGGTTTGTTTTGGTTTGTAAAAATCATGTTTTACCTTGAATATATATTTTGTTTTCTTTTTCTGGCCTGTCGGTATCATTGATTTGAGGATTTTGTTGAGGATTTTTTTTCAAATGATCACCACTTTCCAAGATTTTAATACTCAAAACAACATGATGTCCTAATATCAATAGAGATAAAATAACCTCCTATCTTATCTCAATTTTGTATTATATTTAAGTAGCAATAACCTTGCACTAATGTCCGAAGTCACATGTCTGATATAACCTGAGAATTTCGGCTCATTCCCTGCTCATTCTCATTCATAAGGGGAAAAATTATGAACGATTATGTTTGTATTGTAATAAACATGATATCGAAGATATAAACCTCTTTTTTTATTAGCCCTTACTATGGACGTCTTAGAGTAAAATGTATTAAGCAATATTACTATGCTGGACCATATATTTTTAAATTATATGACCTGTTAAATAGCAGTACCTTAAATATCTATGCATTTTTCCAATTTACCTAAAGGAAACCTTCAAAATTGTTTAAGATTTAAACTCTTCACACATATATTTTGAGATGCTGAAAATGTACTAGTGTTGTTTGTAACACTATGTATAATAGTCTTTGATAAAATAATGTTCTATTTATGTTTGCGAACCGTAAGGGCAACGACTACGCCGCAATTGCTGTAACAATACCTAGCTCTATTTTTGTCTTCAAAAACAAAAATCTATTCGAGCCAAATATGCGACGTTTTGTTAGACTTTGATTGTGACGTGGTCAGATGCCGAGAGGTCTTGAAAACTATTTACTGGTATTGGTTTATCCAATATAATTACAAAAATACTTATGAAAAGAAAAAGAATTGAACGAAACCGATATTACAAAATTGTTTAATAAGTATATAACACCGATTTCTAATACGTGTAGTTTCAATTCTATTTTAAATTATTTGTCATATCTTTAAACGTTACGAATAATATAATATAGATAGGCCATATCATTCTCATATGTTCATTTAAAATTTATGAAAGTGTCCTAATAATTTTGTCACAGTTTCATTTTTTTCTTGTTTAACCTTTCAGTCAATATTTTCATTGGCTTATTTATTATATAATTATGTAAGCTGTTAAGAAGAAAAGTACAATCTTCAATATATATGTATATACGTTATTAAAAATGTTATTCATTAATACATAATTAAATTTGGAACTGCTTATAATCAAAGAAGCATCGGTCTTTTATTATAAAGATATATTTGAGACTAAAAAATATTTAACATGCCTAGTTTTTTTGCGCATTAGTCTAATTTTATGTGTCTCTCAGTTTAGTTAAGAATGAGATAAATTTTGTAAATACACAAAATAATTTAGAAGTGTGAAAAATAAACGTTATGTTATTTAAAAATTAAAAACAGAAACCATATATGCGCTGTTTGTAGAAAGTAAGAATCAAATAAATATAGACAGGATAGATAGATATAATAGTCTTGAGTAATAAGTTGTTTCTCTGAAAAAAAAACTTCTTCATCGAATCAAACATATTTTGGCACAGTAATATTATATAGGGGGAATACCCAAAATAAAGGGGGGAAGCGCACCCGGCGATTATCCTTAAATTTCACCGACCATTATTATATAGATATAGAAAAGAAATTAACTAGATCGTTTTCGTAGAACTTTCGTCTGAATAACCGTTTTATACAAAAAAAAACAATAACAAAAAAAAAAAACCAGTTGATTTTACACTTCATTAATCACAACTTAATATAAGATTACAATCCAACTAAAAATAAGGACAAATCGATGATGAATGGTTTCCCAAAATGCACCTTGTTAATCCATGATAATTTGGTTTCCCAAATATTACGTACTTTTGTTTAATAAATTCCGTGTTTCCTCAAACGACCTTTTATTGTATTGAAGGTAAGTAATAAGAATTTCATTTTGAGTGATAATTCATTTATGTTTTGTTATTTTTATTTGTGTTTTTGTACACTTTACTTTATTATATTTTCTTAATCTAAATATAAATATGAAATGGGTGGAGTCTAAAAGTATATTTTTATTTAGAGACAGTTTTTCTCTGATGTTAATCTCTGACAGTCATTAGCTTTAAATTTAGAGCTCTATTCATTACAAACAAATTTATCATTATTGTAATTCTTATGTTCAAAACACAGTTTAAAATGACGGCAATAAAAAGTGTATTGAACCGCGACAGTAGATGTATAAATACAGCTGCGCAGCAAGCGGGTTTTTTCTATCTTCTCTTCTACTCTTTTACCGTGATTTTTCTTTAAAAACGGTAGTTTGTTTCTGTCGTGATCGTTTAATACTGAATATTCGTTCACATGCCATTGCCATATATTTCTTATTTCACACTAAAATACACACACAAAAAATATCCTTTTAATACTGTTTTTAGTACATTTACAAGAACGATTCATATTTGTTGTCAAAATTACTGATTATTTTCACTTTTAACATTGAATGTGTAAATATTGTTTAACAAATTGATTTTATACAATAGCCGAAGAAAATCAGCAACTATAAATTATTCTCGCTGTATTGTTACAATGCAAGTTATACTACCAAACTAGTTATTTTTTATTTTCAAATGATTCATGACAAATATTCTGAACTTTTTTCTTTTTAAAAATTATGATATTATTAAAACAATGTTAAAAAGATAAAGAATTGTAGTATACTGTAATATGATATGATATGGTATGATATGGTATGATATGGTATAATCTAATTAGTGACAGAACACTTTCAAAAAGTTAACATAATTACATTGGATTTCCTTTATGTGTTTTGTTTTGGTTTGTAAAAATCATATTTTACCTTGTATATATATTTTGTTTTCTTTTTCTGGCCTGTCGGTATCATTGATTTGAGGATTTTGTTGAGGATTTTTTTTCAAATGATCTCCCCTTTCCAAGATTTTGATACTCAAAACAACACGATGTCCTAATATCAATAGAGATAAAATAACCTCCTATCTTATCTCAATTTTGTATTATATTTAAGTAGCAATAACCTTGCACTAATGTCCGAAGTCACATGTCTGATATAAATGAGCTGTATATTTGAAATAAATGCGTTCATTATCTACATGCACTTATATATGAAAAATTGAGAAATATTGTTTTTTTTTTTCATTTTTCGTTTTATCACTGTAAAAATTTATTTTCCTCTGTAGTGAAACCTTTATTCCATACTTTCACTTGTGTCCTGTCAGACTGCTATCTTCAAAATTCAACCAATTCACAAAATTACGCTTGAGACAATTTTTTCCATGCGTAGTACATGTAAATGTCCAGACTATAATTGGATGATCAATTTCTTCTTTAACTAACTTTATTTGAAAATAACTTCCACGAAACATATCCATATCGGTACCCTCATGTGCTCGTGTACAGGGTATAATACCTATCTCTGCGGAAAACAAATTAGGGGACATACACCGATTCAGTAAATGTTTATTCTCTACTGATAAAAAGTGGTGTGTTGAGTGAAAAAGAAGTAATGTGTTCATTTTTACTTTCATAACTTCACAATAAGCTACACAATACACAATATCGCGATGTTTTGCCACGTGCACCACCTCAGCATGTTTTGTAGGCCAAAATGAACCAGTGATTTGAATATGTACATTTATAACACAGATCATCGAAATGGCTAAGGTTTTACTGAGAGGCCAATTCCAAATGATACAATGGAAGATTGATTAGCCACAACAATGTCATGTGCATCAAAGATGGTAAAACAAGCTTTAAAGATATTTGTTGTAAAAATGAATTTCATTTTTACTCGTTTTACAGGTGAATTAAAAATATGGAATCTTGTGGAGTATTAAAGGCATGCAGAAACAGGATGAAGGCAGTGACTGGTGTAAAGCATTGCTGTATTACAGACGTACACGCACCTGAAAATGCAGAAAAAGATAATTACGTCTTGTACAAGGTTTGCTTAAAGTAGATTTATATAAAGTACATTTAAAATTTCACTTTTCGAGGGAAAATGTGGAGGTATTGATATGACCCAGTCGTCGACGACGAGTTGGCGTAAATTAAAGTCATTGGTTACGTTTTCATCTAGTATGTTTACTTCTTTCACTACTTACAAAGACAACATTTAAACTTCATTTTCAGATACTTGAAGATGAGATATACAGATCACACTGATTTAAAGTCAAAAGTTTAAATGTCTAATCACTGTGACTTTTGATAATTTCATTTACTCAGAAACAACTAACGCTTATTTCCTTTAAACTTGGTTTACTAACCTTTATTATAAGGTGATGCGATATCACAAGGGCAGATAATACTAAAGTTATATTTTGCAAAGTTTATTTGTCTCGACTTTTTCGGAAGAAAAACAATCGAGATATTGCTATAGTCATGTCGCACATTGCCATCTGAAAACTTTAACGTAGGATATTTTTGTAATAAGGAGGCTTATTGATTTTGTAGCATCTATCCTTCCCATCCGGGCTTACATTTGAATACTTATGTAGGTAGCTAATTGTACTTTCTCTTTGATGTCATTCATTCCGTGAAAGAAATTGTTCCGTACTTCACTTCAGTGTCAAAATGACGATGTGTTGCACGAAATGACCAGGTCCCTAGCTCACACCTTTAGATCACAATTCATGATAACATTTTTGTTTTGGTAAAAACTTCTTTATATTCACGTCGGGTCATCAATACGTAATTCCTCGATGGGTATGAAAATTATTTTTGCATTAATGTGTTAAACCTAATGAGTGTCGCATGTATGAATCACCTCCGTAATCCCAAATGGCAAAGTCACACGTATATTCCAAAATCATGTTACGAATTGTAATGCGATAATTGTAAATATATTGTCTTCTTTTATGCATAGCTTTGTCATTTACAGATAATAATTATGCATAAATATGCTGCTTATTAAGATGGTAGGTAATTAACAAAAGTTAGCTCAGATAATGTCCAGCTTAGGTTTGAATTTTGGTCATCTTCGGTGAAATGCTTGGTCAGATAGCAAAAATATGGAAAAATCATTAAACTCATATTTGGAAAACTAAAAAAACTAGTAATGTGTCCATAGGACACTAATGCCCCCACACGCCACTGTTTTGTCAATCTTATGACTCTAGGTCAAATTCTTTTTGAGCTACATGTGCCACAAGTTGAAAACTAAAAATCAACAAAGAGCCATAATTCTGTTAAATTTGGTCGCAGCAAAAAATCCTTCCTTTACTACGATCTACACATTAAGGTTGTTAATCCCTGGAAGTTTAAGCAAAATCTGCCATCCGGTTTAAGAGGAGTTGCATTCACAAAATTTCTACATAGTATATAGTGAAAAAATCAACAAAGGGCCATAATTCTGTAAAATTTGGTCGCAGCGAAAATTCCTTCCTTTACTACCATCTACACGTTAAGGTTGTTCATCCCTGTAAGTTTAAAGACATTTCTACAGTTTTATGAAAAATTAATCCTTTCATAGAATTTTCTTAATTTTTTGTATGATGAGTAAAATTTAATGACGAATTTAAAAAGAAAAAGAAAAATATATGTTGACGTGTTGGATTTCTTGTAAAATGGCAGTTTCCATGGTAACCGTATATCTAAAAACTGTCAAAATAGCCTAACTGGTGTTATAACGAATAGAAAAATGTATAAGATAGCTTTAAAACACACAACGAGCATTGTTTTAATGCAAAGATAACCTTATCTAAATGATTCTGTATGAAACAAAATGATAATCTGATCATATTTCTTTAAAAAAATGAGTTTTTCCATGTTCCTCAACTGAAGAAAAATGAAAAAATAAACAAATGACTTCTGAGAATAATTAGAGATATTGAAAAAAAAGTTTCATAGAAATTTCTTACTTTTTTGTATATTGTGTAAAATTTAATGACACATTTCAAAAGAAAAAGAAAAATATATGTTGGGCGTGTTGGATTTTTTGAAAAATGGCAGTTTCCATGGTAACCGTATATCTCAAAATTGTCAAAAATAGCCTTGTGTTTATAATAATGTATAAAATAGCTTTTATTACATTCACAATAAAACATAATTTTTATACAAAGCTTGCTTTATCTTAGAGTTCTGTAATAAAACAAAACGATAATTGGAACATATTTCTTTAAAAAAAAATGAGTTTTCATGCTTTTTAACTAAACAAAAAATGAGAAAAATAAACTTTTTAATTCTGTAAAAAAAATTAAGCTATCAAGAAATTTTTTCAATAGAATTTTCTAACATTATTGATATATCAAGTAACATTTTGAATGGTGGATTCAAAAGTTAGAAATAAAAAAATATATATTGACGTGTTAGTTTTTTGTAAACGGGCAGTTTCCCATGGTTACCGCATATGCCAACTGTCAAAAATTAGCCACGCTTTCCTTAAGAAAATATCAGTGTTATACTAAATAGTATTATTCAAATATACAACAAAAACATGTTGTAATTAAAAAATTCTTTTTCTTTTGATATTATATTTAAGTAAATGATAGGGGCGTCAGCGTTGGCCGAGTGGTTAAGGTTCGTTGACTTTCAAAACGGCACTTGCCCCTCACCGCTGTGGGTTCGAATCCCGACAGGGCTTTGGGATTCTTTCATTGTGAGGAAGCTATCCAAAGCTGGCTTACGGAAAACGTCGGTGGTTCTTCATCAGGTGCCCGTTCGTGCCTGAAATAATGGCACGGAAGGGCACCTGAGGTCTTCTCCACCAGTAAAAGCTGGAATGTCGCAATATGAACTCTAACTTGTGTCGATTGTTGACGTAAACCCAACAAAACAAGTAAATGATACTGAATATCTTTTAAACATATCTAGGGACATTATTATTTTTTTTCACTCGACTAACATAATCCGAACAGTAAGCAAGTAATTCAGAAATTTACAAAAGAAAATAATGAAATTCGAACACATTCTTAGAATATTAATTTGTTTTTTTTTATTCAACCACTTTTAAAAATATATCATTTTTTAACTTTCTTTACCCACGTTGTTCTGCCAGTAATCATAGTCGCGACGCACTTTCGTACTATACACAAGTGGGTGGGTAACGCGCGCAGAATTTTCATTAATACTGTCTTACTAATGCTTGGTGGAGAAATCCTTTTATGTGATGTTGTCTAAACGACCTCTTAAATTCTTTTGAACCGCATCTCCTTTTGAACATTTAGAAATATATATTCTGTATTATGTACTCATTATTTGCTTATAGCCGAAATTTAAACACTTATCCGAATACTATTCAACTTGACCTTCATTTGAAGAGTAATTATCCGTGATTATCTCTCTTGGAAGCGCATAACGATGCACATAGAAAACTACCGAAAACGTCTTTAAGCAAAATCTGCCATCCGGTTTAAGAGGAGTTGCGTTCACAAAATTTCTACATAGTATAGTGTGAAAAAATCAACAAAGGGCCATAATTCTGTTAAATTTGGTGGCAGCAAAAATTCCTTCCTTTACAACCATCTACACATTAAGGTTATTCATCCCTACAAGTTTAAGCAAAATCTGCTATCCGGTTTAAGAGGAGTTGCACACACAAAATTTCTAGATAGTATATAGTGAAAAAATCAACAAAGGACCATAATTCTGTAAAATTTGGTCGCAGCAAAAATTCCTTCCTTTACTGCCATCAACACCTTAAGGTTGTTAATCCCTGGAAGTTTAAGCAAAATCTGCCATCCGGTTTAAGAGGAGTTGCGTTCACAAAATTTCTACATAGTTAATAGTGAAAAAATCAACAAAGGGCCATAATGCTGTTAAATTTGGTCGCAGCGACTGACGGATTGACGGACGGACGGACGGACGGACAAGTGCAACGCTATATGCTCCCACATTGTGGGGGCATAAAAATGCTCCTCGCGAAGAATAAACATATTTAAAGATATTTTGTGTTTCGCATTGTCTAGTTAACTTCTATTTAGTTTGCGCAAGTTCTAATGGATTTCAGGTGAGCAATCAAGGACCATTATGTACAGTAACAATGCCTTTGATGCAAATCAAATGTCATCAAGTTGGTAGATACATTTATGTATATATTAGGCACATGTATGTTGATATATAGTAACCTTGACCTTAAGGTTATTATGACCACCAATGCCAAATTATCGAATTTTGTCTTGTGATAACTATCTTCACATTTTTACAATCGCGATTAATACTATGACAAAAATATACTAGTTGCAAAACTGACATGTTGTATTATTAAAGTTTGACCATGACCTCAAAGTGACATTTGCCTTATTGGTCAATTTTGTATTTTGCGTGAATTATAATAACTTTGTAATTAATGATGGATAAATCTAATTCGTACTGGAACACAGCAACGCTTATGGCAATACCATCTTGGTAAATAATATACATTTTATAAATATCAATCTGACCACATTTCAGATATACTTATTCCTGTCTTGTAGATCTGATGACGACCATATATGTTTCGACTTCTTTATAATTCGGACTCTACAAGAAAGCTGTTTTAAGTCATGCAATTAAACCTGTTTTCACACATTGCATTGAAAGAAGTATCAAAATACCGTTATCCGTAAATGTTAGATCCTTATGCGTAGCGTAATTTATCAGCTGATTTTGATTACATTGTGTAAATGAGCTATATTCAAAATCAGATGTGATATTATAATTATGTTTCACACAAGAAAATTATGTTTTCTTAAAAATATACATTGCAACAGAGTTTTGATTTTTATATTTTTGATTAAGAAGGAAAAACGAGCATGGCCCCGCCTGGCAATAGCTCTTGATTGCAACTCCTTTAAACGATATGAAGGTCTAAACTATGCTAAATATTTTGACCAATGTTTAAAGGAAAGATCCTCTTAAAACATACGAAATGAAACAGTTCTATGTGTAAGACACTTGAAGTAGGTCTCATGTATTACAGTTTTAAGAAGATTTTTGAAAAAGTATCATAAGAAACAAACATCATTAGTTTATAACTTTGCCTTGTATAGGAAAGTGACTTGCCTGAGGACCTATCAATCATCCCTTTTTAATGATATGACCATCTTATGTTCGTTTTACCTAAGCATTAAACACTTGTATTTATGCTGTTATCCATGGTTTCTTGACCAACCTTTCTTAAGGAAAAATTTACAGATATGATTCTTGGGTTAATTTTTAGCTCACCTGACCACGTAGTGGTCAAGGTGAGGTATAGTGATAGGGCTATGTCGGCGTCCGTCGTCGTGCGTCGTCAACAATAGGGTTGTTAACAGTTTATCAGTCACAGTTTTGATTGGATCATTGTCAAACTTTGTCAGGATGTTTGTCTCAATGAAAAACAGATCTATTTCGATGATGGGTCATTTCGGATCAAAAACAAGGTCATAAGAGCTAAAAATAAAAAAATTGCTTGTTAACACTCTAGTGGCTGCAGTTTTGATCCAATTTCCCTGTAAACCAGTCAGGAAGGTTGCTTTGATGATTTCTGTGTTAACTTGGAATATGGGTCATTTCAAGTCAAAAACTAGGTCACAGGAGCTAGAAATAGAAAAATCTTGTTAACACTCCAGTGGCTGCAGTTTTGATTTCAATATTCTAGAGATTTGTCAGAATTTTTTTTAATAATTTCTAATTCAAATTCGAAGATGGGTCATCTCGGGGTCAAAAACTAGGTCACAGGAGCCAACGATAGTAAAAGCTTGACAACATTCTAGTGGCTGCAGTTTTGAAGCAAATTTCCTGGAAATTTGTCAGGAAAAATTGTTTCCGGTCAAAAACTAAGAAATAGAAAATCGCGTAAACACTCTAGTAGCTGCAATTTTGATCAAAATATTCTGAAAATTGCCAGGAAAGTTGTTTTGATGATTTCTATGTCAAGTATGAATATGGGTCATCTGGGATCAAAGGTCACACTGCCCAAATATGGAAAACCTTGTTTAACCTTGTTAACACACTAGAGTTCACATTTTTGACTCCATTGTCATCAAACTTGGTCAGGATACAGACATTGCTTGGATGTGGTTGATGGGTCAGGGGAGCCATCTAAGGCTATCATGGCCCTCTTATTTAATGTGACTTAATGATCCTAATAATGACTTTTCTAGCCATTGATCAATCAAATTACATACTCTTTGCTAGAACATAACTTTGCTGATAAAGCTGAAATGCAAGTTTTGATCATTTTCATGATATAAAGAAAACTGCAAATAAGAAATTTGAAATAATAAAGAGGCGAATCATTTTCAAAAAGTTTATAAAAAAAGTATGAACTATAGACCGTTTGTTGATTACCTTTCAATTTCAATTACTTTTGCGGAATTTTAAATACTATGCTCATATTTGGGTATACTATTTTCATTGCAGAATTTATTAAAATCTAGTAAATTCTTTCTGGATTTTTCTAATTTGAATAGGTAGCTGTATTCCCTATTACTTGTCAAATTCAAATGGCATATTCTTAAAAAAAAAGTACCACTTTTTTTAAAAATAACATTATGTCGTCATACTGTGATTACCTGTAGTTTGTAGATTTTAAAACGTAACATATTATATTGTGTGTATTCAAAGGAGACTGAACAGTATGTAAAGTATTTGATTAGTTTTTTGTTTAATAACAGATTTGAGCATATTTATCTCTTTAAGTAAAATTATGTACGATTGCAAAAAAATGACAAAATTAAGAAATTTCTTGTTTCGGAATAGAGAATTCGCCGATTGTAATAAAACTGATTTTCAATGAAGAAAATTTGATTATATCAGCACTACATCAGCAGTAATTTGATCCGATGTTTATTAGATATTTTAGACAACTTTTCTCAGAAAAAAACGACAACAATCTAATATTGTATGAATAAATAGATGATATTCAAGTGTCTATTAAAATCCTGTTTAAATAGAAAAAACTTGAATTTTGTGTTTATCACATACTTTTCCTTTTTTAACCATATGATTGTGTGTGTATTGGCAAAATTTAGAAGAAAGGAGTCCGGCAAAACATCAGTGAAAATACGAAAAAAAATATGTTGCATTGCAGTGAAAACAAATGTTTACTGGGAAAATACGAAAAATAGAAATACGCATTTTTTTCATCGATTTTTCTCAATATTTCATTAATAAGTATATGATAAAAACATTTATTATTTTTATGTTGAAGGAGATAAAAAGACCTGCGGTAGACTGTTTTCAACAAAAACAGTTAGAATATGGAAAGGCTGAGTCAGGTATGTTCATCAAAAGGCTTAAATCAGGTACATTATAAATATTATGAAATTGAAAAATCAGGTAAATTATAATTAAAGAATATGAAAATACTAAGTTATAGTAAATCAGATATATTACATAGAATATGAAAAGGTTAAATCAGGAATAATATATAGAATATGAAATGACTACAGCAGGTACATTATAAAGAATATGAGAAGGATAAATCAGGTAAAATATGATTATAGAATATGAAACTACTAAGCTATAGTAATACAGATATGTTACATAGAATATGAAAAGGCTAAATCAGGTATGTTATATAAATTATGAAAAGGCTAAATCAGGTATATTAAATAGAAAATGAAAAATCAGGTACATCTTATAGAATACGAAAATGCTTTATTTGATATGTTATATAGAATATGAAAAGGCTAAATTAGGTATAGTATTTAATACAAGAAAATGCTAAAGCAGGTGCATTATAAATAATATGTTTAGGATACATCAAGTAGATGATAATTGTAGAATATGAATATACTAAGTTTTATTAAATCAGATAAATTACATAAAATATGCAGAGTCTAAATCAGGTTAGTAAAATAAAATAATGAAAATGCTAAATAAGGTTTATTAATTTTTCATAGAACCCGAAAATTCCTAATGTTAGTCAATAAGGTGTGTAATATAGAACATTAAAAGCTGAATCAGGTATGTTATATAGAATACGAAAATGCTTGCTGTGGTATGTTATCTAGATATATGAAAAATGCTAAATATGGAATTTTATATAGACTATTAAAAGGCTAATTCTAGTACATTATATAGATACGAAAATGCTAAATCAGGTATGATATATAGAATAATAAAATGTCTAATTAGGTATGCTACACAGAATATGAAAAGGCTAAAATAGGTATTTAATATACAATATAAATAGGTCAAATTATTGAAGTTTACTAAACTTTTCATACATGTTGATTGATTTTCATTTCTATTAAACGTACCTGTGCTGGCTCAGGGTGAGCTTATAGGCTCGCTGATTGTCACTGTCAGTCATCTGTCCATTTCTAATTTTAACGCTTTAGTGTTTACATATTTGCATCAATTTTCTCCGAAGTTTGTCAGGATGTATGTCCCAGTAATTGCTAAGAAAAGTTCGAACATTGGTCATCTAGGATAACAAATAGGTCAAAGGAACCAAAATAAAATGTTGTGAACACTCTAGAGACAACTGTTTAGGTCCATAATTATATCCAAGAAATTGGTCAGAAAGGTTTTTTTTATAATTTCTAGCTTAGCTTTTAATATGGATCATCTGGGGTCAAAAAGAAGGCCACAGAGCCCAAATATAAAAAACCTTGTAAATACTATAAATATAACATTTTCATACCAAATATCCTGGAAATTTGTCAGCATTCCTCAAAATTGAATATTGGTCATGGTCAAACACTTGAATACACTGCTTAAATATGAAGACAAAATTATCAGGAACGTTATATCAGTTTAAGAATAAGACCATATTTAGGAGCCCTTATAATCAGGTGAACATTATAATGGTCATCAATGGCCGCTTGTTTTATTTTTATAAGAGTTTGATTCAAACATTGACAAAATTCATCAATTTATAAATTTGATTCATACTTTAATAACATTTTATTTATGAATTGGATTCATCCTTGTCCTACACAAAAGATAATTATCTTGAGACAAGCTAAGTTGAACCTTTTGTATAATTAAAACATAACTGAAGCTTGGAATGACCGTTATCTTTGACTTACACTTGATTTACACATTAATAAATGGACATTGTGGGTGATCTTAATATGACCTTTGTCTTAAATTTACCATGAATCTTCTTCATAATCTTTTAAATTTAACATAAGTGATTAATTGACAGGTTTGTTCACACATAGAATAAAGACTATTTATGACAAACTGAAATGTTGAATAATCTAAATATAACCTTGATATTTAAATGAGCTTAACCCTACAGGTCACCATTATTATGTTGTGTAACATTTTTAATTTCATTGAGAATTGACTCATACGTATTGAAAATTTTGAAGTTCTTATAAAACAATGTGACAATATTTATATATTACCTTGACCTTTAAATTACTTGGGCCGTCAAGGTAAAAAAAGAGATTTTTTCCCGGATCTTAGTAGATTTCTTATTGGACATTACAACACTTTTGTTTAATGATTCAAATGAGATATTGACCTTGTGACATAGCAGTAGTAATGAATAATGTAAATAAGACCTTAAAATGAATATTGCCATTAATGTCAAATTGAATTGTGCCATAACTGTGTAACTTTATCATGACTTTTGTTATTTGATTCATATTTGGACAAAAGAGTACTTATGACAAAATCTTCATTTTACAATGTCAGAGAACTCCATAGAAAAACCCTGTTTGACAATTTTTTTCATGAGGAAATCTTATGTTTAGTTTGTTTACAAGTAATTCTGATTTTATGGGCTGTTCAATGAATTTCAGGTTGCTGTTGTCAATTGATAGATTTTATCAGCAGTGACATGTTTAAAGCATCTGCAAAATCTTTACATCAGGAAGAGAGAATGCAAGAGGAGTTGGAGAAAAATGAAATAAAGTCAATGTCAGAAATTTTCACAAAGAACGGAGATCCAATTAAATTTATTTATATCACTGCAGAAACAGGGTCTGGTAAGAGTACTTTTTGTAAAAACTTGTTTGACTGTCGGTGTAGGGCACACAGTGGCGGACACAATGACGAGTTGATGAAGATGAAGAAATTTGATTTCATGAATAGTCAAAGTATCGAAGAAATGCATGAAACGCAATATGATAAGACAAAAATTGTGTTCAAACTTCTGGAAAATGATGCTGCAAAGATTAATGTAATACCTGATGGTTTAGATGGATGGTCTTTTAACAGGGAGACTAGAAATGACTTCCAGGCAGGCTTTCCCGAACACAATATTACCATTGTTACAACATCACGACCCGGGAAAATTCTTTACAGTTTAAGAGTAAGTTATAAATTATTTCTTATAATTGGTTTTATTGATAGTAAGTAATAGAAAGATTAATCAGTTAACTTAAAGGGTTTGATGAATGTTAGAAACACATGAAAAAGAAATGTTGAATTAAATTAAAGAATCAAAATAATCAGAAGATCCTAGTGAGTATGAAAGAAAGCTTAACGTACAGTCTCTGGTAGGCCTGAAACAGGTACCTATTATGCTGAAGCTATTGATTTGTCAGAGGTGTACTTTTTATACTGGTATGTTAAAACTTCACATACCTGAAACAGTTCCCGAAATACAACAATCGATCCTTCGCAAATATCATCATGATGACATGTCGGTTCTCTTTTATGAGCCTATGCGAAAGATACATAAACAAATATTGGCAACGCAACCAAAGGAAGTCAAAAACCTTGCAAAGCAAAACGCACAATGAACGTCATAAAATGTCATGCATGTAATTTTCTTTACCAATGAAGGTATCGCTTTTCAATTTGGCACTGTTTGTTAAGCACTTTTAAAATTGACCCAATTGCATTCATAATTGAACACCCCTCATACTTTGATATTATTTGTTTATTATATTCTTATAATATAATATTTTTGTATAATTGATTGATTATAGATTCTAGATTTTAGTAGTATTGGTATGATTTCTTTTTTTCAATACTTTAGCCTTTGAAGAATATAGAGACCAACCTATACCCTCTTACAAGTGCTAAATATATTCAACCAGCGTTTGGAGATTTCATTGGAAAGGAAATAAATTTAGACACAGCATTTTGCAGTATTACTGTTGACCAAGGTATGTTTTCTTCATTTCCTCCAATATGTACAAACAAAAAGAACATGATGAACACAAATTTGTATCTTTCTCTTCGGTCTCTTAAAACTTTAGACGAAAAAGCTGATAACTTAGTTATTCAAACTGATCCTTTATATACTGCAACCTACCTTATACAAAGTTTTACACAGCATATTTTAAGACCTCATATCGACACCATCGCTGAACATGACAGCCACTTTCTTAAAGTTACTTTTCTAAACAAAGGTATTGATTTCATCGATTTACCTAGTATTTTTCGTGATAAACGCTTTACCGACGCGATTCCTAAATATTTCAAAACTTCTGAGATTCCAATTATTTGCTGTAAATTTAAAACACTTGTCAGAAATATCATATTCAATTATAACAAAATTGTCTTCCACCTAGAGTTGAGTCTAATACACCAACTAGTTGCAATTGAGACTGCAAAAAATTCTAAATTCTGTATTTTGGAATTTTGGCCATATAATCACTGGTGATTTTGATATAATAAACGACAAGACAATCCGTAATTTATTTCTTAGGGGACCAAAATATAGAATTCCTTCCGATATAGATTTTAGTACTTGTCGAAGTCAGATAGCTGAATCGATCGAGGACTTTTCAGTAAAATGGTGTCGCCGCGAAAATGCTGACAGCAATGCACTTAATACATTTGAAACATAATATTGTTACGAAAACTCTTCTACTTTTTGTGAAAAGCTTTGTTTTATTCACTCTTTTCTCTTAAAAGTCAACCATTTCTCTATGCTGGTATAATGAACAAGTCTAGTCCAAGTGAAAGCAGGATTATATTTATTGCAGTAAATCAAAATAATGCATCATTTTATTTTCTATCAACAGTCAAAACCAAAGTAAAATTCTTAACAACTTCAACAAATACATTTCTTCAATTACTAACTAACTCCAACTCAAAAACCCAACTCACTCCAAAACTCCTCAAAAACCTCAAAACTAACCTGTTTGCGCAGCTAGGGTGGTGTGCAAAAGTAGACTGTTGCGCGACCTCTTATTGCGCGACCTCTCCAGTTTTGCACACAACTCATTGCACGACCTGAATGTTGCGCGACCTTTTAAAATGCTGACAATGCCTTAACAAAATGTTCAAAATGGCCTGCAACTGGTTCAGGTATACAGACTGTTGTACAATACAAACATTAGTACAAAAATACATAATAGTTATATAAATTTACATGTTTGAACACTCAATAGGATAATTATTATCTGTCCAATAATGCATCTTAATAGTGCAAAATATACTTGCAGTAATAAAGATATATGTACTATATATGGCTTATAAGACCAATACACTTACTATTGATTGACATTTC